GATTTCTCAATTTCATCTGCAGTTTGCCTTAATATTTTCATGATATATATTGAATTTCTCAATTTAATTGTTCTAATATTTTTATGATACATATTAGAATTCTAATTTCATTCATTTTGCCCTAATATTTTTATGATATATATTGGAATTCTAATTTCATCTACAGTTTGCTTTAATATTTTTATTATATACATATATTGGATATCTCAATTTGATCTGAAGATTGACTTAATATTTTTAAGATATTTTTGATCATTTTATTCATTCCTGATATATGATGTTTTTATCATTTCTAAAATGTTTAATTAATTAAATTAGGCAATTAACTTTGTCAGTGGCATGTTTCAAAAAAATGTAAGTTTCTAAGCAATCGAAACATTCAATTTGTAATGATTGGTAGAAGAGGTGATTAGTTTTTGGCAAACGCAGGTCCAATCATTTCGAAGATATGGAGCTAAATATACAAAAAATGGCAGTTTTTGAGAGAGCTAAGCGTCCGATTTTAATTATTCAAAGAACTTTCTACTTGTTTTAACAAAATAATTCCATTTGGAAAAAATCGTTTTAAAATTTTTTGTATATCGAAAATAATTCAGATTTTATTTTTAATTCTGACTAAAGTTCTAATATACTTTTAACATATTTTTTTTCAACTTTGCAATTCAGTTTAAATATTTTTTATAAATATTAGACTATATGTTACAATATTATAATAATCTATTTGAAAAGATTTAATATTCCTCGAATATTTTGTTACGGTACGGAAAGTTCCAGCAATTTATGATATAATTGGATTTCTCAAATTGATCTGCAGTTTGCCTTAATATTTTCATGATTTATTTGATTTCTCAATATTTATGCTTTTATCAATACTTTTCCTTCAATATTCTCGATATTTTCTTTATTCATGCATATCTATTAATTGTATATGTTTTAGTCATTTTTTTACTGATTAGAATTGATTCCTTAATTTACGTCAAAATGAATTCTGAATATATGATGAAAGTAAATTTTAATATGCTGCACACTGTTCATGATTTTAGATGAATCTAACTTCAAAATAAATTCTTGAAAACATTACCTTTGCTATAAACGTTTTATAGTGTCGTTAAAGTTATCTTTAGAAATATAGTTAATTTGAGAAGCTTTTTTTTTATTTTTAAATATAGAGTTTTATAAAAGGTACAACTTTGGCACGATTGATTTTTATGTAGGTTAAATTTTATTCAGCGCATTTAAAATATTAAATGGAATTTTTACTTTTGTAAAAAAACTAATATTTTTATTATGAAATTAGTCGGTATATTTTTTACTTCTTTATGTTCCAACTTTACAGCAAAAAATAATATTTGTACTAAGAAATTTACCCTGTTTTGAATTTCGAACTTTATATATTATGGTATAAATTTAAACATTTCATATATATTTACATTTAACTTTATACATAATATGACGTCTATAATTTCAACATTAGGTGCGTCAACGTGTAGGTACATATGATTGCCGATCCCTGTTCATAAATACATAAAGTAATTCGAACACCTTTTGCATCTTACAGAAAATTAATATTTGTTAGTGAAACCATTTGGTAAAATATATTTCCTGAATATATAAAATGAATAATTTATATTAGTAATAGTTAATCGAAGCTTTAAAGAAATACTTCGGTTGATATTCAAATTAATAATTTTTATGAGATATGTGAAATTTGAGTATATATTATTCCAAATATCATACTGCATAAGTGTACAAGTCACTAATATCCAATACTTCAATAATGTTTTTAGAATAGAGTCCATACGTGTCTATGCTAAATTACAATGAGTACGAAAAAATAATCAATTATTTTGCTGAATTGTTTATTGAATAAAATTCAACAATGACTGCGAATCAAATCGGTTGTTGAATTGTTTTAGAAATTCCATTCAATTTAACCATTGTTCATGATGTATACTTTGAAGTTCGAAGATAGGTGATTATTAGTTGTTGTTTCATGAAATACCATTCACCAATCTGTTTTACTATTAAAAACTAAATAATAATTGCATATTGTATTTAATTAATTTTTAATCAAAAATGAGTAATTAATTGATTAATTATATCCATATCAAACTGTTTTGTATTAGATAATATGTCGCCACAATGTCTCAAAACGATAGGCTAGACGTAAACGGATTTATATTAGATACTTGAGCTAAAATGCAGTTCTAATGATTCTGTTTTGGTTAAAAGAACAATGAAACGCGAAGCATCAGGTGATTATTAACTTCCCGAAGGCGAAGTTTATGTTTTCATAAAAAAAATCGAGTCGCTAATTTTATGTTTTCTGAACGTTTCAAGCCATTCTAAATCAAATGAGACCAAATTTGTTTTCTCAAAAACGGCTTGACCTCAATGAGGACTATCGTTTGTCAGTTTTGTGCAATGATCTGCCAAGCCGTTTCTTCATAATTTGAAAAAAAGAGTTAAATTTTTCGTCCACATTTAAGCTCATACTACCGAATCGCTTTTAAAAAATCTAAAACTGTTCGAAAGATATTAGTTATGAATGATACTGATTAGTTTTGGGTGAAAATCTACCGAGCCGTTTTCTTGTAATTAACTGTTGAAAAAAAATTTAAGCTGATTTTTATGGAACTTTTTTTGGCGATATATATCATGGTCTTATAGAACTTACTGAATTATTACGGCCTTACGACAAGTAGTTTAATTTTAAAAATTCATCAAAGTTTGAGAAAATGAGTAGTTTTTTTGACGTTTGTTAAAATTAAAATTAGACGGTTTACTTGGTATAACGATAGATAACTTTGTCTTAATGAACATACTAAATCATTAAAGTCTTGGAGACTGGTTCAATTATAAAAATTATTGATTTTTGAAAATTTGCTTTTAGAAAATACTCCGAGTTAGCTAAATTAGTTCGTTTTCATATATGTGTAATAAATCCACTCGGATACTTTCAATCACTCATAAATTAATTAATTTTTAAATACCAATACCAATTTGTGTTTGCAGAGTTCTGGAATAAAATTTGCTTATCCGTTAACCTGGTGTCAAACAGTATATTGATATTTGTACTAGATCTAAATATGCTTTAATGTGAAAATAGCCTTTCTAATCAAAGGGATAATTGCTGAGTAGCCTTGGGCCAAGGATAAGTCTTATAGAATTTTTAGTTCTGATTAGGACAAAAACTAACTATACTAAAAATTTTGACATATTTAATTTAACAATAATGATGGTATTCTAACAAATTTCCTCTCATCTGAAAAAATGTACACTTCTACTGGTTCGAAGCATTTCCCGATGAAAAGGTTTAGTCGGTTGGCAGTGAGCTATTCGCCAAGGTCGCTTCGGAATAGAACCGCGTTATCAGTTATACACTAATGCAACATTCAAGGACAAAATCGTGTTAGATTGTTTTGCACATAATAAATAAGTTACATCATTCTAAAAAGATCTTTAATCATCGACAAATGACAAATGCTATTGTATGGGTAATTGGCATACCATGCGGAATGGCAGACACCTTCATGATCGGAATTTTTATTTTTGATTATTATACATTTTGATCACTTTTTGAATGCAATAATCTTTATTGCAACTGAATATAGAGTAGCCAATGCATTTTAATGCTATCAATATTGAGACAAATTTTTCCAATTGTGCAATTTTGCATCATGCTATCTTGCCCAAGAAAATATGTATCAATTTATGATACATATGCTCAAGAATACCAAATTTTCACTTGAAATCAAAGATTTCAAATATGATTTCAAGTGAAAATGGCCTTTCGTGGGCATAGCTGTAGTGGCAACATGCCACTTGGAAGTAAAGTCATCACTATTACAACAATTGTAATAATAAAAAAAAAAATCAGCACATAGAGATGGGACAACTGTTTGGGTTGCCATCTATAATAATTGTAAGATAATTGATCACAACAGCTCATAGAACTCATAAGTTCTGATCGCTGTTAAAAATTATATATATAAAAAAAAAAAATATATGCTCAAGAAAATATGTACCAATTTTTGCCCAAGAAAATATGTATCTTGTTTTTTGAACATTACATTTTGACTTAATTGTATTATATTTAAATATAGATTTAACAACTTTTAAGTTATAAATTATAGTTCTTATAACCATTACTATGAATTTTTCATATGGCATTTATTAATGCATATTTTTTATATGGGGTTTCATATGGCGATTTTCATAGGTATTAAATGCATTTATGTTTACAAAATATCTGATTTAAATATTTTAATCTGTATTTAATTAATGTGGAATGCAGAAAAGTTTATAAACAGAGAGATTTTTAATTAGCAGTAACTATTTGTTTTCTTATTTTAGACATGTTTACATGCACAATTTTAAACACCTTATGACGGTTGAAATACTTTGATTTTGCATGGCCATGCGCAATTCTTTCTTATATAAATATATTGAATCTAGAAAGTAAAAATCATTCATATTAATTATATAGTAATTATTATATTATTACATTTGTATCATACAAAATCTTCTTAATATAAAGTGTAGTATAAAGACACTCTATTTTAAAATGAATTTATTAGTAAACTCTATTGCAATCACAAGAACTATTTTCATTTTCAAAATATAATCTATCTTCTACTAAATATATTACCTTTGGAATATATCGATTATCAATTTGCCCGTCTGCAGAAAATAAATAATTGATTAGAATGAAGTCTACGACTACGGAAATTTTATCATACACAGATAACGTTTGCTAATGACTTTTGGATGATCATAATTTGTTAATGAATCACCATATGCTTTTATTTAGACTGAAGATATTCCAGAAATTTATGTGAAATTTTTGCTGTAATTGAATATTTATATTAGATACATCTTTCATTTCTTCTTCTATGAAGATAACATGACATTTAATCGTTGAAAGCAGCAATTTATTTATATAAATTGTATTAAATTACTTTGTATATTTGAAACTAATCCATTTTTTTCATTTTCAGGATAAGCATGACGGAGCCATCGAAATCGTGGAAACAATACGGTGAGTAATAAATAGTAAATTAATTTTTTTTATTTATTTATATAATAAAAAATAATAATTACAGAAATAAATAACAAATAATAATAATAAATGAATAAATAAAAATAAAGAAAAATAAATAAACAAAAAAAAATTGTAGTAATTGCTCCAATAAGCAATCGACTATGGAAAGCAATTTAAATTAAAATAATCTTATTTCTTTAGATTTTTTATATCGTTACTTCAATTGACGTAACAAATATTATATTGCGTAAGTTTTTTTTTATGTATTGCTTAATTGGCATGTATGCAGTTTATTAGCATATGATTAAACAAATCTTAAATTGCATTCGTAAGCACTCAAAGGAAATTTATTTGCAAATGACATGAATATACAAAGAAAGTTATTTTATCTAAAAGAGCGAATCTCCTATTTTATGAGCTGTATATATCACATCACACAATAAGTCCTTAGGATATATTGTAATATAATAACTAATTATTAATTTAATAGTATTATATTATATTTATTTATTATAACGACTAGTAATATTTAGCTTAATTTTTATACACTTTAAATATTTATAAATTAAACAACGACATCCAACTTTATCAAACATTAGAATTCTTTTGAAAATTTTCACGAATTTTATTTATTGAATATTTCATGCAGATGATCTATTTTATACAGAATTGACGATATCAATTCAAATTGCTGATGTAAGGAGAGAGTACTTATAAAAATACATTAAATGTGACATAGGAATTTTAAGTTTTAAACAAGAGGATGGTTCATTGAAAGTGGAAAGCCAATAACTCAATCAAGGGCAAAAGTGGCCACTTATGTGATATCATTTTCAAGAAAAGCTGTAACATATCTGCTTGAACCAATATAAATTCTAATCGAAATGAAAATAAATAATAATGTTCTCTTCATATACTTTCTTAGAAACGAATGCTGTCTACTTCAAATGTATATAATATAATATGAAATGTTATGATGACTTATTCATACTTATTTATTATTTCTTTAGATGGGTCTGTGAAGATCTGCCCGAGATGAAAGGTGCTCTTGAGAACAACGTGCTCAGCGACTATGACACCAGGTCTTACGCTAGCATGAAATCTCTCTGTGATAAATACAATCGTGCGGTCGACAGCATCGTGCAACTAGTACGTATTACAAAAATAATAATTCTATATAATTTATTTCATATATCTTTTAAAAAAAACCTACTTGAATCAACCAAGTAAGTTAATGAAATTGAGTTGGGTACAATCATATTTAAAAAGAAACTAGTGCCCTGAGGCAAATTGCTGAAACTTTCGGTACCATATTCGAGGAATAAAAATAATCAGTAATCAACGAAAATTATCAACGATTGTTTGAAATTTTAAATAAAACACATTGCAGAATAAATAGAAATATATAAGATTGTTTTAAATATTATCATTTATTTTTATATTGCATGTATGGCCATTGCAATAGCGATGACGAGCCAAAAACACTTAAGTTTGTCAACATAATAAACAGAAATTAATCGCTCAAACTCAGTTTGAATGAATCCATTCAAGGACCGTTTATCATATTTCTTAGAATTATTTAGAATAACGCTTTTCTATTACATAAGCAAACTTTCGAAAATTTTAAATTAAAAAAAAAAAACACTTCGAAATATTTGATATTTTTTAAAAGTAAAGAATTTTTAATGTAAACACTTTTAATTTTGAATTTTCAGCTTTTCATAAACTTTTTTTTTATTTTAAAAAAAAATCCGTAATTTTTGAATTCTTTTGAAAATTTTGAGTTTTGAAAAAATGATGCATCTGCTTTCCACAAAAAGTAACCAGTACGTCTCGCAGTCAGTACGAACCGAATGTTTTTCGAATAATTTAATTCGTACAGTCGGTTGATCCACAACGTCGATAAGCTTGTTTGAATCATACATGTGAACTTATTTCCATCAATTTGAATCATTCAAATCGGTTGATTCGTTGCAAATGTTAGTATTCAAATATTTTGTGGTAATTTCAAAAATTATTAACATTACAAAAACTGTTCTTGAAAATCATTCACTTGACATCTAGATTCTTATATATTTCAGTTCAAAATTACATATTTTATATTCTATGCTGAAGGTTTCTACTAAAATTAATGAATATATTGAAGACACTTCTGTAATACACCATCTAAATTTTCATATCACCAATTCCATTGCATTGGTGCGGCCCTGAGATGACGTTTGCGTTATATTTAGTAAGTGTAAATATAGTATGAACTAAAGTTAGTACACTATGCACTTAATTAGTAGTAGTAAAAATACTAGTTTCAAAATTCGTGATGTAATCTCTATTTATACTCATTGTCAGTTTCGTAACAAAATTTCATCTCAATTTAAAATAAATACAATAATTGAAATAATAAATTTGAACGAGTTTCATAATGAGAAAAATTGTGAATACTTCTGCAATTACTCGCATAAAAAATTATGTGAGACAGACCAAGATCATTTCAACAGTTAACAATTCCGTTTAAACAATTTTTTGGTACTATTTAATTATACTGTGACTTTTAAGTCACAGCATCCCATAATGTACGCACTTCTGTGTATTAAAATGTTACTTCAAATTGAAAAACCTGACGAGAGTCATTAATATTGATTAATTTGAAAATGTTATAGAATTAAGATTTATGCGCCATCTAGCAAAAAAACTATAATTATTTGGTAAAATATAGAAAAATTTGATATGCGCTGAAAGTTACGCAGCCCATAAAGATTTATGACAGCAAGTATATAGTCATTCAAAAATCACAGCCTTGATAAATTCACTGTATGGTTAACAATAATAAAATGAAATTTTAAATTCCTTATTTAATAGTAACTTCATCGTTATTATTAATAATAACACCACTTTTTGCCAAATTCATCTAACCCCAGTACTGCGTACCAAAAAGATCAGATTGTACTTGTAATATTGAAGAATGAGATATTAGGATTTTAATAGTAATATATAAAAATTAATATGTTAGAAAATCATTGAATAGGACTAAAATTCCATAAACAAAAGTATGTGATATAAAAATGTAAATGGTCTAAAATTTAGACTCTTTATCCTTTTCGAGCAAACCTATTTTCTGTGAATATAATTATTAACAGAGATGATGAACTGCAAATTTGATTTTGATGAATTTTAACCTAATTAATACTGAATTCTCGTAGCAATATATTTTATTAAATAGAATTTTATTCAATATGTTAATAACACAAAAGTTAAAAAATCATATACATAATATGTACATTCATTAAAAACGCATGTATTAAACCGCGCTAGGCGACTAGTCATTTACCAAACGCATTCAAAAGAAAAGTAAATCTTGTTCCGACCATTGTTCATATGTTTTTCCATTTCGCTCACATATCGATCGTTTGCAACACAGATTCCTTGTGCATCATATAAATAAAGGGCACGTTCGTAGTCAGTCAGCGATTCCCCCCTTTGCATCAGCGCTGTTATTTTTCACATGGCGGACAGCTAGAGATGTCGGCTGTTTAGAGAGAAGTAGAGAGCACCGTTATGCCGTGCGAACGCATGTGACGGATTACCACATATGATCGTCGGTGAAAACGTAATGTGATGGAGCGCGTACTTGATGCGCGATAAAAGTCACAGAGAAATAGGAAAGACGAATGAAAAAAAAACCCAATGGCAAAACAACAGTTTCCGGGAAAAAAATGAGTGCCTATAATTGGTATTTGGTTATACCTGTTCAGTGGTCACCAAATGTTTTACGATAAACAAAATAAATATCTTCTATATATATATATATAAAAATAAGTCGGGTTTTCCTTCCCGACGAAATAACTCCAGAACGCACGAACCGATTTCGACAATTTTGCATTCGTTGGAAAGGTCTCGGGCTCCGCAAGGTTTATAAAAATAAGTCGGGATTCCTTACTGATCAAATTTTTCCTTTTCAAATATAAAACAAACAAAAAATTTCTTCATTTTTCTCACGAAACCATCTGGTGGCGAAACGGAGTTCGTCGGGTTTGCTAGTATATATATAAAAATAAGTGGGGTTTTTCTTCCTGACGATATAACTCCAGAAAGCACAAACCGATTTCGACAATTTTGCATTCGTTGGAAAAGTCTCGGACTCCGCAAGGTTTATAGCTAAGAAAATTAGTGGTGCATGGCATCGTGCCTTAATGCAAGCTGCTGGAACTTTACGCACCGTAATTAAAAATTCGAGTAATGACATTAGTGAGAATTATCAGAATTATGCTTGGTTAAGTCAACAAGCAATTCTTGCCGCAAAGAATAATGATGTACACGCACTGAAATTCACAATTAAATCAAAAATTGCTGGCAATTTGGTGACATACCTATGATTCCGACTGGTCTTCCGTACTTACTTCAAACGATTGCAATTTTCAGTTTGCCTTGCGTTCGCAATAACAAGTCGCAAGGGCACTCGCTTAGTGTTTGCGGGATAAATTTCAAATAGATTATTTAGAAAATCATTGTTTTTCACATGGGCAGCTATACGTTGCCTATTCAAGAGTTGGAAAACCATCCGATTTGTTTGTGTTAACGTCAGTCCAAAAAACAAAAAATGTGGTTTACCAAAAAAGCACTTCAATGAAACGGATAATTGGCGGATTCACTTTCATTTGCTTAGAAAAGTTCAACTAAAAAACACTTCATTTTTGTAATCGAAATAAATTCATTACTGTTGTATGATAAAATCACATTTTTCCTTTTCAAATATAAAACAAACAAAAAAAAATTCTTGATCTTTCTCACAAAACCATCTGGTGGCGAAACGGAGTTCGTCGGGTTTGCTAGTTATATATTAAATATTCATTTGTATATAAGAAAGCAAATGAACTTTTTTGCTTAAGTAGATGGCAGTTATCTAACAATAAGAATGAACAATTTGATTATGATCAATATATTTAAATATGCTATACTGATAATTCAACAAAATCATTTATATCGATTTAAAGTAGGTTTCAAAATGACTTCGTATTAACTTCCCGTAGGATAAGTTCTAGTAATCGCAAAAAAATCAAAAATATTTTTTTTTATATAACTTTACGTTTTAAAGCCTTCTAAAAATTTTGGCAGAAATTAGAAAAATGTATGTATATCTGTGTGTGCGTATGTAGTATGTACTAAGAACTATTACGTATTTATTACAATATTTTATTTTCATCACATCCTCATTAAGATAAGTTTGTAATTTTATATTGTAAGTTGGTATCAAATCCAGCATTTATATAAAACTTTTAAAAATCGACCCTTATCCGTACAAGAAGGGTCGAATCAGGTAAAACTGATTATTATTGAGCGGGGGTTAGTCATGAATTGTATGTAAGTTTGGATACAGTTTATCGTTCACGATTTTGAGAAATTTGAATACCTAAACATTGAATTAAAAATACAGAATAACGTTACTATGTCTAAATTTACCTCTTTTACTATTTTATGATAAAGTATTCATTATCTGCAAATATTATTTTTTCTCGATATTCAGAGGCAACTGAGATTTGTGTTGGCTTTTGCTTGGCTGGAGCCACGTGCCGTTAGCACGTTACAAACAGCGCTGGGTCGTCGACCTTCGCCCGTTTGTGTTCTACGCTTAAATTCATTGTTGGTCACCCACCAAACCAGATATCGACTTTTTGAAATGAAAGATCAATGGAACCTCCGACTTGTACGATTGCTTTGTTGCAAATTGGATTTGATAGAAATTCATATAAATTTTATGGCATTTTACTTCTTCTGTAAACATATATGTAGTTTCTAACGATATTCTTATCACCCCAAATACTTGATTCTGAAACTTACAATTATATATAACACGTTTTTGCAAGCATTTTGGAAATTATAAATATATTTGAATCGTGTTTTATCTTTAAAAATATAACCTTAAACGTATTCTCATTTAATTGATAACGGTACTATAAATGATTCATATATTTTTTTATTTAAAAAATACCAGTTTGATTCTTCATAAGAATACTTCATAACATGTGTAATTGTATTCGTAATTACATAATTTAAATACCGTTTATGCATATATTTTTTTCATTTTAAATATTAATCATTTGATACATGAGAAACCGGATATTGACTTCTAAAGATCATTCAAGTTCTGAGAAACGCGAATGACTAAAGTTGAATTTGAATCAAATATATTTAAGTATATCTTAATATTTTTGAGAATATTTGTACATTACTACCCATAATTAAATATTTTAGATTTAATCTAGTTTCATAAACAATATTGTCGTGTTATAGAACTAATGCAAGACATTTTTAAGTTGATTTTGTCTTTAGCAAAATCCGCAACTGATAAATTGTGCACTTTAATTGAGGGCTTCACTCAATTTTTTTATCTTGATCAAACGAATAGTAAATTTTTTTTTCTATTTTTCATATATATTTTAGAATAAAGACCAAGCAAATAGTAACAAAAACTTTCACCTCAAGAGTTCAAGGATGCATGCATTTGTTTTTATTGTACGTACAAATAGCTATAAAAACATGATTTCAACAAATAAAATTATGCAATCCAGTACATCGTAAAACTTTACTGGAGTAAATATGGGTTTTATTTAAAATTGGATAAAATCACTTTAATCTCAATATCTTATGGAGAAAACAATAGATCTTTTAATATTTTGTTTCATGCTTTGTAAATTTGTCTGTATTTTATATTTCACAAATTTTTGTTTTCAATATGCATATTAAGTTTGGAAAATCTTCAAATAAAGCTTCTTGAATCTAAGCTTCAAATATTTTCTCATGAATAAAAATATCAGTAGTAGTTTCATTCATAAAAACAGAGGCAGCAAATATGGTACAAGATTTTTATCAATATTACTGGTTATTAGTGATAAAAATTAAATTAAAACCTGTTTTACGCGTGAAAGATATTACGCGGGTAATAAAAATAATGGCAAATAACATTTTAAAAAATGAGATTAATTTTATTTTTTATTTAAATATTAAAAATAAAATTCTTAGGGCATTTTACCACCGGAACAAATGCTAATGACCAATCCGAAAAATATTAGGAAATGTAATAATAATAATAAAAATATTATTTGTTAGATAAAAGTAAAATAAATAAATACTCCTTATGTGAATGCAGAACTGGTTTATTCACTTTTTACATTTGGAGATTCAACTTTTTTTATACGAGGGTATTAAAAATTTTCTAAATAATTTCTATTTGTAGGAAAAAGGTACATCACTGCCATTGGCGCGTTTGAATAGGCCGCCCTCTCGCGAACTCCTGCGTCACATACTGCAGCAGACGTACAATCAGGCTGTGTCTGATCCAGACAAATTAAACCAATATGAACCTTTCTCTCCTGAAGTCTATGGAGAAACAAGCTATGAACTCATCTGCCAGATGATCGACCAAATAGAAATTAAAGAGGTACGGAATAATTAATAATAAAGTTATTCTTCAGAATCTGATAACTAATAAAAATAATTTGTTATATAAATACTAAAAGTGAAACTTTGAACTTCCATTGTTTTCATTACTATCCAAATATTTATTAACATTGACATTGAATTGTTGAATACTTTTATTTATAATCACTTGATATGATATTATCATCTCTATTCATAAAGTAATATTTATATCATTTTATGATGTTTGCAGGACGATGTATTCGTTGATCTCGGATCAGGTGTTGGGCAAGTGGTGTTGCAAGTATCTGCCGGAACTGCGATCAAAAAGTGTTACGGTATAGAACGTGCAGAAGTTCCGTCAAGGTACGCCCAGGAAATGGACTCCTGTTTTAGAAGATGGATGAAGTGGTACGGTAAACGCTGCGGGGACTACCAGCTGATAAAGGTAAAAAAGTCAATGTTATCTATAAAAGTCCATTTATACTTATATCTTATTTATAGTGATATTACTATTCATGTTTGTTTTTTTGCAGGGTGATTTTCTAACAGATGAGTTCCGAGAACGAATAAATTCAGCTACAATTATTTTCGTAAATAATTTGCTTTTGGACCAACCGTTGACCATCAATTAAAGGAGAGATTTGCAGACCTTAGAGATGGAGCCAGGATAGTGTCATCTAAAGTTTTTGCCCTCTAAATTTTAGGATAACCGATCGAAATCTGAGTGATATTGGTGTGTAAAAGCTTCCTATCATTGTTAAACATTTTGCATTTAAAAAATTCGGTTTACTTTACTATTTTATTTCTAGGAACTATTATGCATGTTAGTGAAATGTCACCATTGAAAGGCTCAGTGTCATGGACTGGTAAACCTGTTTCTTATTATTTACACATTATTGATAGAACGAAGTTGGAAAGATATTTTCAAAGACTCAAAAATCCAAAGGTTTATAATCAATTTTAAATAAATTTAAAAAGAAATCATTGAAGACAATCAATTATTTATGTTATATGGTTTTTACAGGGCACTGATGAAAATAATGAAATTTGGCTTCAAACCAAACTTCTCGTACCGGAAGAAATAATCGAGCCAGCAAATCGCCTGATGATTGGAATGATGATACAAATGATTTTACTGGAGCTCGTGAGTATTTAACTTAACTATTCAATATATATGAAGTTTTTGTAAGTCATTTATTTATGGCAATACTTGAATATTTAATAAGATTACATATAAATACTGTTCATAATCATGAAATAATAAAATCTCAAATATTATCATTTATTCAATTATTTATCTTACACAATATTTTTATTGCAGGACCAACAACTAGGCGAGCATGGACTGATTTTTATGGAAATAAGTCGGACGATGAAAATTCACAGACTAATGGTGAGTATCAGCTAATGTAGTATTAAAATGTTATTAACTTGTTATATATACCAGTATCTTTTTCCCATTTTTATTTTACCTATTATATTTTATTACGTTTATTTAGATAAAAATATATTTTATCTTAATTTTTTTGCAAAGCATTATCAGCAAACATTTTAAT